TGTTGTGACCAGAACTTCACGTCTACGTCCAGACCGATCCAATTGACAGCTATTTGCAGACCTCTGGTCACGGGATCCACTTTTCCCACTCTATCGAACACTATATTTACGGTACACTATATGTGAGGCAAACAACACGTAATGAAATCATTGAGATTTAGAAACAAAATCAAAAACATTTCTTACGATAAATATTTTCCAAATACAATACAACGAAAAGAAATATCCGATAAAATTGAAATATTTTCCTTTAAGTGTTTTCGACCAAACAATTCGCTCTTCCATTGCCTTCAACTCAAGCAACTCGAGAAACATTTGCCGCGAGAGCTCTTCTAGAGTACAGCATTCCTGTTTCAATTGGGAAACGTCGTGGCCCTGAAGTGACACACTCTTCAGTAGTGACCAAATGCTCGAAGTCGGCGACGACAGGGATTTGCTTTGGTTCTCCTTCTCGATCATCGCTATCCTCTTCTTCTTCATCGCAATGATGTCCAGCGTTTGCAATAACTTGCGCTCCGAAGAGGTCACGTCGGCGGCCGTCACGACACGCATAAAACAGGCCATCGAAGTGTACGGATACATGACGGCACCGAAACCCGACAATAAGGCCATTAGAGTGACACCAATAACGCCGACTCGACTGATGCCCTGTTCGATGGACAGTATGCCGTGTTTGGGCGACATTATGGGAAACGGGTCCCCAATCTTCCAGAACAGGTATATGAAGAGCAGCCAAACGGCGACCGCAAACGGCTTAATCAGATGGCGTTTAATGAACCGCACGTTTGATATGAGAAAGTATCCGATATTGAAGGGTAGGATCACTATTAACATGAAAAGCATCGCATAAATGCCTATTTTCCAGTGCAGGTAACGGGAACTGCAGGTCAGATAAAGACAAAGACATTACAATCAATGGTAAACATAAAACTTATAGACAAAATACGGGGGACACAGACCTGGTGTCTAAAATGCCGACGATTTCAAAGATAATCAATTCAAACATTGAACACGAGAGCGAAAAAGTGACACAAAACTGGATTTGCACGAAGAGGTGATGGATCTAATTATAGTGATCGACAATTCACATCCAGTATTAGGATTATCATTGATTTGTTTGGTGGTAAAGCTATACCTCATAGTCCCTGAAGAGTAGTCTAACGAAGAAATGCCATCCCATGTAGAAGAATAGGATCTGTTGGCGAACATAATGAGAGACAATGAGCACATCTATGGTAATAATAGGGCAGTGGTTGCGATGGTATGTCTTTGGATACCTGAGTGATGAACACAATCAAAGTGTCGACAATTATAAAACCCATCGACTTTTGGATTGATTTGTTTGTTTGGCCGCAAAAGTAGTGATAAAAATAGCAATTATTATAATAAATAACTTAATTATAAGACTAATCACTAAATGATAACAAATAATAGAAAACTATTTTATGTGTAAAATTTGTTTTGATTTAAGTTTGAGTTTAATTACAATTAAAATACAATTAAAACATAAATGTCAACAAAAACTAAAACTGTTTTCAAATGAGTGTATATTTGATATACATTTTGTTCGCGTAATCAATGGTTTTGATGGCATTTAATACACGTTTGTATTGCAATCACATCTCATTTGGCGTTAATTGTGTCCAATATATGGCTACAAATGGTTAGCAAATGTGTATTCAATTCACACTTAATTGTGATTTAGTGTTGCATTTCATCCAACATTTGAGGCATTTGTTGTTTGTTTGCATCAAAACATGACATCATCTCAACTATTGGTTAGCATTTCATACACTACTGACTGACATCTGGTGTCAGCCGTCGGGTGTCCGACACTTGCGGTCCAACTTTGCGGCGATTATCACAACTCATCCAAACATTATTTAAGCTATTTTTTGTCACACTTTATATTATATTCAGATTTTAAAACATAATAATTCTGTCGTTTAATGAATTAAATTTTAATTAAAGTATAATTTTGTTATAAATAATACATTTGTTTAAACTTTATATTTAGAACTTTTTAAACAAACTTAACGGTAATGAATGCATGAAATCTTTTTAACATTTGTTTAACAAAATATTAAATTTAACTAATTATAGATATGGATGTGTCGGCCATTCACTGTACAGACTAGACGTCATTATCTTCAATGAATTTCATGGCTTAACTCAAAGACAAAAGCCATGAAATTCATTAAAGATAACGCCATTAGTGTTACTTTGAATGCATTCTTCGGGTGTATTCTCGCCAATAGTCTTCAGATCGGAGACAATATATCGACGGCGGAGTTGTGGTACATATTATGTGCCAACACTTTCTTAATGATATTCTTGTCGTAATAATAGCTCAACGCTTGGCTCATATAATTTCTATACTGTTAGAAAAAATCAAAATTAGATAAAATGCAATTATTTAATAAACAGCAACAAAATGAGTGATTATTAAGACACCAAAACACATAAATTATAGTCATTAATCACTACAAACCACTTCAATGCAACATCCAATTGATCCGACCAACAGTCCGACGCGATTCGTCCTCTTCCGACTCGCTCTTCAGATTTGGTTCGTGTTTAACATTGTTTTTGAAAACATTCTTCGATTTGTTAACACTATTCACGTCAACCGATCGGTCACTCATCGCGTCATCCAAGTCCAGAACTTTTGCGCTATATATGGGAACAAATGCAGTGATTATCAACTTTTATAATCAAAAGTTAAATATCGTATTCTTACCACGTTTTCACTGAATCTTTGCTGCTTTTATGGCCAGAAGTACTGACGCCCGAAGACTCGGTCCGCTTTTTGTCCGCAATTTTGACACGCATTTCGATGGCTCCTCAAGAGGTACGGCTTTAATGAATTTCATGGCTTTCAATGTCACATCACTCCATGTCTTCGCACACATCGCTGGCAATGGCTTTCGTGTATATGTTTGTCGTGAGTGTGAGTGAAGGGGTCTTCAGTCCAGGGATGGGTTCGGTTGGCGGCCAATAGTGGAGCACTAATGGCCGGCCAGAGAGTGTGAGGCGCGCAACGATGTCGACGTGAGAGACCCCGCGC